TTCATCCCTTCTCCCTAACAAGGAGCTCTGGGCCCCAGAGGCCTTCAACTATCCAAAACACTGACTTCTCCAACACGCTCCAAGAGCTGTCAAGGCTGTTGAGCGTGGGGATGACACTCAAGCCATGGAGTGGGCGCTAAGGATGGAGTCCTGCTAGCTCCTGGCACAGGGATGTGCTCTTGCCACCACAGCCCTAAGCACAACAGTCTCATGCAGGCTGCAGCTTTGCAGGGACTGTCTGGCAACACCCATCTCTTCTTTCCACAAGGTGACTGAGCTCTGGAACATGGAGAGCAAGACTGGCCAGTTTGCCCCGCAGAGCATTTCCCAGATGGAAACTGGACTGCAGGCACCAGGTTCCTGAGAGGGCAAGACAGCTGCAGCTCCAGCCCATCCCCACACACAGCTCTGGGAATGTCTACATGCACAGCAGGGCTCACACAGCAGCAGCTGCAGCTGTAGGAGCAGCTGCAGCCCAGCCCTTGCTTTGCCTTGGCCTTCCAGCCCAAGAGAGGCAGAGCCCACATCTGCTGCTGGCACCTCTCGTGTGCCCCTCCCACTCTGCCTTCAGTGGCAATTCTCCAAACGCTCTTCTCTTCTTTCCCATCAAACAAAGCCTGTTAGAACCCACCAAGCTTCCACTTCCTCCCCACAAATGCCCCTGCACCAGGGATTCTTCCCAGAAAAAGGAGCATCCAAACCTGGCAAACACCTCTCATCCTCACTTAAGGGCTATCCCCCCTTTTCATTCCCTCTTCCTTAGCAAATCTTGCTTGACCAAGCAAATCCTTCCGTGTCCATTCCCAGCTGAATTCAAGAAGCCTTTGCTTCTCAGCCATGCAACAACATTCAGAAGCTCTCACTCCAGCTCCTTTCATCCCTGTCCAATGGAGTTACCTGAGCAGAGGGAGACCTTTCAGGCACAGATGGTGAAAGCATCTCCTCCAGTGTCTCCAGAACAAGGTCCAGCTGCCTTCAGTGGCAATTCTCCAAACGCTCTTCTCTTCTTTCCCATCAAACAAAGCCTGTTAGAACCCACCAAGGTTCCACCTCCTCCGCACAAATGCCCCTGCACCAGGGATTCTTCCCAGAAAAAGGAGCATCCAAACCTGGCAAACACCTCTCATCCTCACTTAAGGGCTATCCCCCCTTTTCATTCCCTCTTCCTTAGCAAATCTTGCTTGAACAAGCAAATCCTTCCGTGTCCATTCCCAGCTGAATTCAAGAAGCCTTTGCTTCTCAGCCATGCAACAACATTCAGAAGCTCTCAGTCCAGCCCCTCTCATCCCTGTCCAATGGAGTTACCTGAGCAGAGGGAGACCTTTCAGGCACAGATGGTGAAAGCATCTCCTCCAGTGTCTCCAGAACAAGGTCCAGATCCAGCGGTGGCAATTCCTCTTCCCCAGGAGTACTCCAGACCCAGCTTGGGGCTCTCCATGCTGCATAACCAGCACTGCCAGCTGGAGCACTGGGGACTGAAGTGCCCAGGGCAGCTGGAAGAATCCAAAAAACATGGGTGAGGCTCCAAAAGGAGGCTTTGGGACGCAGAGCTTTATTGCTGCCTTGGATCAAACATCACAGGAAGCGCACAGCAACCTCAACTCCAGAAAGGCATTAAAAACTTCCCAGGGAATTGGAAGAGTGAGCTCTTCCCCTTCAAAAGTATTATCCTAATCAACGTGTACATAGATTAAAGTATGGCTTGGGAAACTGATCTAGACATACACACAATCACCTTGAATCACAGCCTTTTGCATCTTCCCAGCAGCTTTGGCATTTGGCTGCTTGAGTTTCTCATCACAAGAGACCCCAGAAAGTGCATTCACCCAGGAAGAGGCCAGAGGTGCAGACACACATGCTAAACTTCAACTGCGAGTTTATTCTAAGGAGCAACCATGGAGGTGAGGCCATGGTCTGCAGCTGCAGCTGTTCTGGGGACTCCCAGCGTGCACTGAAATTTCATAGTATTATTTGCGGGAGAGACTGTTGGAAATGGAAAATCTGCAGCCTTAGAAAAAGCCTGGATTGATGGAGTGATGAAAGTACACAGACATTAGGTAGAGTAATTCTAAACCTATGTTCTTACAGTTGCAAGTAAGAATATGCCACGAGTAAGTAAGAAATTATATTAAGTAAAATAGTTGAAGGTATAAAGTGTAATAGTGTGATTTATAAAGTAAGTTTGAGATCTAGGAACTATAACAGAAGTGTGTGTGAATACGTAACCTGTTAGCTCGTTGGTTAAAAGACAGACGCAGTGTGGCAAAATCAAGTAAAGGTGATAAGAGCTTAATAAGTGAAAACAAACTTGGTGCCAACTGTCTACTGGACTAAAAAGTTATATATTGCCATGCAGAGAAGGAACTCATAACTCCCTCGAGCTGTGGTTGACTTGTTGCCTGTAAATCTCACGCCTCAGGACTGATATCTTATTGGGCTACTTAAGCAATAAATCATTTCAAAACACGGTGGTCCCATCCCTTGTATTTCATCTCAACAAAAAACAATCTGTAAACTCTGCAATATCCCATCAGAGTCCTAGTTTGGCTTCATCCAAAGAAAAACGGGAGTTCACCTGACACCGACCAGCTGTGGAGAAATGTTCTTTGCCTTGCCCTTTGACCTCTACACAGAGGCTGCCTGGAAAATGGCCAGAACATCCTCCAAATCTGCAGCAAGGATGGGAAAAGCAGACAGAGATTGTTCTGATATTCATGATCCTGCTTCCTAGTACCCTTGACGCCTGATTGTCACAATCAAATGGACACATGACAAAGCACCGCGGCAAAGTACTTCAGTCACTTTTTGTGCTCTTTCTGAAAAGCCAGGGGAGAAACACATTCCGTACCTGATGGGATGTTGGCTGGCAAGTGCTGCTCTGGAGAAGTGCAGCTGCTGCTCTCTGGAGAGGCCGCAGAAGTGCTTTGATGGTGCGCAGGAAATGGTGGAGTCATGAGCTCTGGCTGGGATTGAAATTTGAGTGTGCCTGGCTGGCCTGATGAAACCCCAAGTCCAGATGCAGCAAACACTTTCTTGGCAGCTGCTGGGGAAGCTTCACGCCCTTGAATATCTGGACTTGTCCTGGAAGGGCCTGGAGGCAGCTCTGAATCCTCAGGTGAGGCAGCACTGCGCTTCTGGCACCAAGGAGCTGTGCAGCAGGGAGGGAAGAAGAAAGGAAGCAAAGGGAAGGCTGGGTCACTACTGCTCCTCAGGGGTGTTTCCCTTGGCAGCAACTGTACTTCTCCCAAGGGAGACAGAAGCTCCCATCCTCCCAAGTAGGGTGAGAAGGAGAAAATTCCCCACATGTTCTGAAGCTTTGCAACAACCAATTCCTTGTCTACTGAGCTCTCCCGTACTTATTCATCTGTCTGGGAAAAGTGTCCCGCTGCCATTCCTCGGCAGGAGGCAACTGCTAGAAAGCCAGCTGCCAGCTCTTCTCCCTTCTGCTCCAAAGGCACACAACAACTTTAGAATCACAGCCTTCCCTATCTCCCCTGCAGCTTTTAGATTTGGCTGCTTGAGTTTCTCAACACAGAAGGCCACAGAACGTGCATTCACCCAAGAAGAGCCCGGATCTTCAGGCACACACTGAGAAATTCAACTGGGAGTTTATTCGAAAAGCAACCTTGTAGGTGAGGCCATGTTCTGCAGCTGCAGCTGTTCTGAGGCACACAGAGCTCATTTCAATGGCACGGCCCGATTTGCAGGCCAGTCAGTCTGAAACATCTGCAATATCCTATCACCGTCCTAGTTGGACTTCATTCCAAGAAACAGGGGAGTTCACCTAACACTGACCACTTGTCTGTTGGGAAATATTTTTCACCTTGCCCTTGCACCTCAGCAGACAGGCTGTCTGGAAAATGCCCAGAACAAGCTCCACATCTGCAGGAAGGACAGGAAGAGCAGAGAATACTTTGGCATTCACAGTCCCACCTCCTAGTACACTTTCTCCGTGATTTTCACTTGAGATCTAGCCATGACAGAGGACTCACGGAAAACGCTTGAAAGGCTCAGTTGCCAGGACCTATTGGAAAAGGAAGGGTAGAAACTCTTTCCCTACCTGATGGGTG